TGTTTTTCTGCGTCGTATTTTTTAACACTTGTGCTACACTGACTGTACCTGTACTAAAAAACTTAGGAAAGTGGTTTAGAAAATTTAGTAAATAGCATGCCTCAAAAAGTTAAAGCTGTAATTGATAGTGAAGGAAACCCCACAATATATTAGCATCATAAATAAAAAGCTCATAACAAAAGCATTCAAAAATATAAAATTTATTAAAAGTTGTTAATACAGTTATTGGGAAAACTTGATTTAAATGTTTGATAAAATTTTCGAAATAATGTAGATCAAAGAGTCAAATACTTTCAGCAGGGAGTGTATATGGAAAATCAACACTAAAATTTTGCAATAAATTAATAGTCAAAAATTTTTTCCAATTAGCAAAGTCTATATTTCAGTATTTTAAGGTGCTATAACTAGATTATATGGCAACCTACTTCTCTAGTTTTCTTCTTTTATAAAATTCTGTTACTTCTTGTATTTTTTTCTCTTTCAACTGTTTATCATTGAAGAGACTCATGTTGTAAATCTGTGCTCGAGCTGTGCTAAATCCTTGGTCAGATGCTTTTTCATATAATTTAATTGCTTCTTGATCATCTTGCTCAACACTAATTCCATGCTGATAGCAAAAACCAAGATTGTACTGTGCCTGAGCACTTCCTTGATCAGCAGCTTTTTGATACCATTCAACTGCTTTTTGATCATTTTTTTCTGTTCCAATTCCTTTATTATAACAAAAACCAAGATTACATTGTGCTTGAGCATATCCTTGATCAGCAGCTTTTTGATACAATTCAACTGCCTTTCGTTTATCTTTTTCTACTCCAATTCCCCTTCGATAATGAAAACCAAGATTACATTGTGCTTGAGCATTTCCTTGATCAGCAGCTTTTTGATACAATTCAACTGCTATTTGTTCATCTTTTTCTACTCCAATTCCGTCCTTATAACACACACCAAGATTACATTGTGCATCAGCATATCCTTGATCAGCAGCTTTTTGATACCATTCAACTGCCTTTTGTTCATCTTTTTCTACTCCAATTCCATTTGCATAACACCAACCAAGACTATATTGTGCATCAGCATTTCCTTGATCAGCAGCTTTTTGATACCATTCAACTGCCTTCTGTTCATTTTTTTCTACTCCGGTTCCATTTGCATAACACCACCCAAGACAGAATTGCACATCTGCGGAGAATAAGAAAGCCATGTTGTCATACAACCTGGTGTTTAAGAGACTTATGCCTAGTACAAATATTCTCCAATTCAAAAAATTTGGTACATTAAATAGTTTGCAGAGGTGGTTGGGTTGTTTGTTTACCCTTGGTCATAGATGGATTCCTCGAGATTCCGCTTGGTAACACGAATATACGTCGTACGGACCAATAGAATCATAATTATAGTTATTTCCGCTTTTAGAGCGTATATATGCAATTCCGATATAAGCATACGCATAGAAGATATTTAAACGCAACAAATTTCCCTCAGCAGTTATCATCTTTCGAACAAAAGAACATACGACCAAGTATTATCTTCACTTCTTCGATCATAAACTGTCTTTAGAATAATTCTTTTATATTCTAATAAAACATACCTGACTAGCGATTAACTTAAATCACAGTTTCGCTTATTCTTGTGGTATATACACCCGATTAAGCATTAAACCGCCTTTCTGGACTCTTAGTTTGACTTAAGCAGGCCACTAAGTCTGCATAGTATATCGGTGCAAGATTTCTATTTAATTGTTTATAGTTTAGTCCCAGAGTTGGATGTCTTTTCCGAAGCGATACCGACTTATCCTTCGGATCATAATCGTACACATTTAAATAGAAATATACAGAAAGTGTCTACGACACGATAATGATCGTAGGTAATAAAAGCTTGTTTCTAAAGGTCACTAACGGTATAATAGTTTATCATTGGTAGGAGTAACCGATTGGATCCCAAGGTGCTACACGAACGCTTTCCCACATGTAGCATTTCGAACAACGGATGTCAACTATGAATAATTCTTAAACATTGTTGTATTGTGCTAATAAAATTGTGTTGTATCATCGACTTGTAACACATTAGACTGCGTAACCTATATCACATTATTATTATCGTTAAAGAATGCGGCAAAGCTTACGGGACTACCAACCAAGAAGGTACAGTTTTTGTGTTAGGTATTAGGCTTTACATGTACGTGTATTCAGTTTGTTACTAAATAAATTCATTTTTCAAACAGCTACACAGACGATGTGCTTATTGAGTAGAACACTCCCAAACTTTGTAAATCCTTGGTGCCTCCGTCGTATCATTCTGCTCGAGACGCAAACAATTATTTGTAGAAGCGGTAGATAAATTAAGTTTTATAGCTATCGACATTAGCCACATTTTTATAATAACTTTCTACTTTCCGGGGGCAACAATGACATAAGTAGTATGTGAATAACGACACAAGAACATTTTTCACTGTATAACCTCTCTAATATTAACCATATGAGAAATTTCATATGTATGGGATAAGTTGGATATTAGTAGGTGTTAGAATTAGAGTTTTAAAAAAATACATCAGATCTATAAGTCACTGCCAGAGTTACTGTACAACCGTTTTGCAATTACAATTTTAGGAATTTTGCCCCTCTTACATTGTGCAAGAAGTTTGAGTGGTAGTTTAAGGTATTACGTTAATTTGTGTATTAGTCGCTGCTAAGTTAAAAAAAAAAAAAAAAACACTTTTTGTTGCGTTAAACGAGTGTAACTTTTGCTTTACGGAATATTTTTCTACCGTAAAGATTTAATAGTGGAATATTGATTGACTTTTGTCAGCTTGAGGTTGATCTGTTACGGAAGGCATATTTTGTTCGAAGTGACAATCCGGAAACTTTGGCATGCTGTTGAGCTGGATTAGAAATTCTGCCCAGTTTTTTTTACAAACGACTTTCTTTCGGAAGCCGGAGATTGTAAAAGAGGAGAAGATTTATTTAAAATTAATTAGCGAACGTTTTTTACGGTTTAAGTGGCGTAGTTGTCACTTGTTGTCATATAGTGATAGTATAACGATTACAAAACAATTGTTTCGTCAAAATAAAATTCAAAATCAGTTAGCGGACTTTCTATGGCTTTATTTTTTATTTGCTGGGTATATAGAAACTCTATACTACACTGTTCAAACAAAGCTGTCTTAAATAAAATATGCACATACCCATCACCTTTGGCCCCCCGATGGTACGTTATGGTATGTTTATCATTTCCTCAATGAAAGAAAGTTCTTATCGCGCGCGCTTCCCACACAACTCTATCTAAATGGAAACATTATAACAACAACATTAGAGGTAGGTGTCTTATAACTCTTGGGCAGAGACCTTTTCTTTTAACTGCAAAGACTCGAACTTTAAAAAAATTTACTTTTGGAATCAGTATTCAATGAATTTAAACTAAATTGTCTGAATTTATATTTATATGTTTAAAAACATGACGATTGTTTTTTACTTAAGAATGCAAAACCATTGAAATTAACTTCTGAAGATATCAATATAACCAATATAAATTTTCAAAAATTCTTATTTTTGACGTAAGCATTGCTTTCGCTCAATATTGATACAAAGTACTTAAACTTACAAAATGCGTGCACAAGAGATATTGAAAATAAGTTTACTTATTGCATCATGGCCGATTGTGTTAGTAAAATATTTACTTTACATATAAACGACGTTAAACGTTCGATTTGCAATCTGCAATCCTTTTATTTCGTCGAAACGTTTTCTCGGTTAGCCAGTAGGCCGGCTGGACTAACCATATGACGATCACGTCCGTGACTGCAGACAACACAGACCATGTCTGCAGAGGTGGCTCTTTGAGTCCTTCACAGATAACTGCTCACGTCGTCCGCAAGTCCTGGGCGATGGATTAGAGTGGCTCGGGGACGTCACTTATTGTACTGTAAACTCTATTTTTATCGAGTTCATTGAAGAATATAAAGTGTATGTAAATGCGCACCAAATTTTTGTACAATCGAGAGCCAATGCGAACATACCTTTCCAAATATGCAATCGGGAACTGGTGACATAGTTTGCAGATTTGGGTATCGCGCGACTATTAAAAATAGAGCGACTGTTCAAATATCATGACACAACCAAATGAATAATTGATCTACTACTCACTTTCTGTAATAGTACTTTCCAAGAGATGTAAGCTTTCAAACATTCGAACTTGCTCAATAGGTATGATGCGACACCGTGATTTCTTTAATGTATTCCATGTCCCTTAATTGAACAGCATCCAATATTCCCAAGCTTCCCTTTTATTCAGCAAGACGACATTTGCAAAACTCTCAGCCAATGTACTATCAAACAGCCGCCATCCAGTTGAGCTAAGGAGTCATATGTACTTGACCCAAGGCTGATTGGTAACGAATCGCACACAAAGTCAAAGACAAAGTGTCACGTGGAAATTTTAACGCCGACTGCTGGTAAGAAAGCTGCGTCGCCATGGTCGAACCCAGAAAAATGGATAATAGTAAGATATAACTATCAAAACGAGAAGAGAACAAAGTGGTAGACGAACACCGATCGCAAGAATGCAACAATTAAAAGTACACGATGCTTAATGAAAAACCTTTCTTGCTCATGGCTTTGTTGCATACTCTTCATAGTCAATATGGTTAGCCTTACGGGCACTCTACCAATTCTTTCATGTTATTATTCGCAAACAAGCTATGCTCTGTTTCAAACGTGTCAGAATCAACCCCTTAGGTGTGAGTTGCGAGTCACTGAGTGGAGTTTTTTTTGAGAACCCAGCCCAGAAATTCTCCCACGCTCCATTTTGTCACGCGACTAGTTTATCAATATAGTGACGCAAATTGATTGGACGTTTATTGATAATACTCCTTTAAAAACTCTTATTGGCCGAAGCAGATGTTTATAATGCAGCAACGAAGACTATTTGGAAAGCTAGTTTAATAATACCTGCAACAATGGATATTAATGTAAAGCTTCCTACACATAAAATTGCCTAAATTTTATATCTCACATTTGAGTTAAAGCCGACATTTCGCCGATGCTAGCAGCAGGTACTCTGCCCAACACTGATTGAACTCGTACTTCTCTTATAACCACATATTCGAGGCTCGCGGTCTCGTTGAATAAGTTAGTGTTGTCGGATGCTTGCGCGCGCATTGGCGCAAGAGTATATGTAACAAATTGACTGTCAATCGTATCAAAATGTCCGTTGGACGAACCACAGAGTGGACAACGACAGTTCATGTCTTGTTCGGTCAATCGTATGCCAACGCCCGGGTGGTAATAAGAATCCGAGGGATCAGCTTGATACGATGTTGTACGATTTCCAGCATTTCTGTAGTCAACGGTATTAATAGACGTCATATCAACACTACCACTGAAAGGTAGGAAAATGTCAGGAGTACGGACATGTTGAATAGGTTGGGGCAAATTAACAGTCGTTTGACTTGGAGGATTGGTATTAATATACGGCATATCTACATTACGATGGAGAGAGAAAGAAATAGCATGAGAACAGACATTTTGAGCATGAGGTTGTGCTAATAAACGTTTGACTTGGAGAATTAGTATTCATAGAGTGTTACCTTCGAGAGAAAATGAGGTGGCATAAGGCCGGAAACTTTGAATATGAGATTGGGTGTGCAAATTGGTATCTAATGGAACCGGAGGATTAGAATCGAGGCTTTCCGGTTGATGGACGGTGTTATTGATTCCGACATAACCGTTGTTTATATTATTATGCTCGTCCATTGTACTAATGTATTTGTAGACGGAGTGGGAAAAGGTTTTCTGAAGGCTTTTTATATAAATCGACGAGAATTTGTCAACTATAGTCTTATTTATTATTACTGTATATTTTCATAATACTTAAATATATGCTTTATAAAACTGACGAATCATTTTATTCGCATGTTCTGTGCGTATGTTGGCTAAATTTCTATTACAGATGTTACTCAAACAAACAAAGCATCAATGCACTTTCCTACATACTTCAGTCTTTTGGAACACTACCGTAAAAGGACCACCAAGCAACAACTCCGCGACAGATGGCCATCTAGAACAGATCTGGCTGTCTGCTTTACTCCGAGCTTTCTGGATCCACAGTGAGCAAACAACCATTTTCCTCTCAGCAGAGAGATGTCAACCCGTTATGTAAATAACCTTCTATAAAATGTACAGTAGTTAGATTTATGATATAAGTTTATATGTATTCTATTTATGTTATTTTATTTATTATGAAATATGTACTTTATTAGGTTGTAAAAGCACAGAAAATCAGGGGTCACCCCATGTGTGCCGTCAAAAACTCAATGCACTTTCCTACTTGGAAACAGGCGGGCCTACCAAATTACTTCGTACCAGCTGCAATAAGATTGATCAAAATCAAGCGAGGACCAAATCAATGTTCCACAGTCCGACGAAGGAAGGTACGGAGAAAATGCTGAATGACAAGACAAAATACTTTTCGAAAGTAACCAAACGGGCACGTACACCACCCTTGCCAAAAGTAATAAATACAGTAAGACTCCATGTTGCGCACCACCAATGATTGCCAGAAAGGTTTTAAGTGGCTACAGCACATCAAATTATCCGCCCCGGGCCAATTATTATTATTATATTATTTAAGTATAATGAAGAGATAGATAAAACGTCTATTGTTCACTCAAAAACTCACTCACATTTGCAATGATTAACATTCTTAAGTATCTATACTCTTTACAGTATTGTTGGCATGGACGATTGGTTAATATTATTCATGCACTATCGAATCACATTTAAATAAACTTATGCATTTATTTGTAATAGGCTGTAGATATTCGGTGTGTACGCAACAATGAAATGACTTCACCGAATGTAACCTACGACTTTGATACTGCGGTTAGTGAGTTCTCAAAACGTATTTGTCATCAAAGTGAATTGTTGCGTCGATTTCGTAACGTCACGCTATGTTTGTATCACCACTAGTTATTGACTGCTCAACCAGCCTAACGGTGATGAACAAAAATATCTCTTATTGAATTTGGGAAAGAATACTCAAATTATCATGGGGGAGCTCTTAAACCTGAAGAAAAGACTATCTTCTAATTTCCCGACCAATAATTTGTGACAAAAATCCTGAGATTTATCATTGTTTATTTTACTTAAGAAAGTTTGCGTAAAAATGTTATTGAAATAATAATAAAATTAATACCAGCTAACGATACCGGTATGCGTGCCGTATATCACTTCTAAACTTTCTGCTACTCATCCACTCTTTCTTGCATTAATGATAGCATTCGAATAATAAGTCTTAGGTGCGATTTATTGATTTTCATCAAGTGTGCATTTGTTGCAGTGATGATTTGTTAAAGTGTACTTATGCGAGACAAATATTCTTCAATAAAGACTGTTCTTATTGATACGTCTCGTCTGATTCAACAAATACGAAATGCTGCATACCGACATATAAGAGAAGTTTGAGATTTGTTAGAGTCAAAGAGGCAGATTTATAGGCGTATAACGTTTGCTTTTACGGTCAGTCATCTCCGTTTGATATTTGTTAACATCGACACAAGAAAACTTCGGAAGGAATCGTCGGGGAATAATTGTTGGGGAATGGCTCGTGTGTTTATTTACCATCATTTATTTTGGTTCATTTTGTTAATTTTCCCAATGAAAAATTTCGCAACTGTTATTGTTCTACCGGTGCTCCAATCGACATAATTAGACCGCTACCATCAGCTGATAACGAGTCCTTGGAGACGAATAAGGGCACCTTTGGCGACTTTGCCGCTAACTCGAAGAAAAAGATTTTAGTCCGGATACGTACATCCGGGGAAGTCCCTTAATATTAATGAGTTTTTATTTTATTGCAACTTTCGAACGAAATTCCTTGAGTTGCCAAATCCTGAAACGGGAAAAAGCCCCAACCGGTACGATATGCTGTTGACTTCCCGGGGGATACGATAATGCTAATGCTGAATTAGTTTCTCGGTACGTTGCGGAAACATATGAGAGAATGAATGGTTTAGTAGTTTGTATATGAATATATAAAGAGTATAATGAAAATGATAAATTGTTTGTGCAAGTATAAATGTAGTTGGAGCAAGCTACGGTGTGTAGGAGTGAATAAAGTATTTAAATCTCCCATTATCACGTAGCGCAGGAATGAAGGCTTGGTGCAAGCGATTTTCAGTATGCATTAAATTCCACATAATATATCTAATACTAACTCATGATTTTGCGCTAAGCCTAATAGTTGAAATACTCAAGTTGATGATAATTAGCAATGAATGCGAATATTGTTACTATGCCAGTCTTCACATTCTCGTTCTCATTTCTCTCTAATCAAAGGGCGCCAAGTAAAGTATGTTGATTTATTCAAAAGCCTCCCATTTTTTGCTACTTACCCTATCAACTCAAATAATAAACTTCTCAGCAAGATTATGTAAACAAATGAAGCAGCATTGACCTTAATAGCATCACCAAAAAGGAATTTTATGTGAACATATGAAAGCTAACCCTTAATCCTGCACTCTACAAAAGATAATACAGGCCAAACCTGTGTAAACCGGCAGACCGGTTCAAATAGAGAAAAATTCTACATGGACGGGGGAGGGTTTCAAAAAGGTTTGTCACATGTAACTATCTCAGCAACCTCTGATTTCCTTCACTAAAACACTTTCTCTTGAACTGTTTCTTCTCTCTCCAGCACCACTCTCCAGGAACTTCGAGACAAGGTTCTTCAAACATTCATACTCAAGTCTTGTCTCTTTTCCGTCTGATACGTTCTTTGTTTCACCGTGGCTTCAACGTCTTGCATTTTTAATTCTTGTTCCTTTCGGCCCCGAGAAGAGACCGATTTGGATCCGTACCTGAAAAAGGTCCGAAAGTGAAGTTGCAGTGACGAGAGTGGACATTAGAAATAACATGCGCGTACAGCATAAATTTGCCCCAGTCTGATAACGTATATCTAAATCGCTAGCAACAATCCACCAAGCTCCCGCAACACCCCAATTAACTTGCATTACAAGAAACTTACAATACGACGCCCAACCCCTTATTCGGTGGAGCTGTTGGCTTTCAATTATTGGCGTTACACACCTTTCTTCTCTCGCCAATCGGCCGTGATTTCCGTAATATTTGATTTTGAGATTGGTTCAACTTTCCGGTGCGCTCGGCACGAAGGGTAGAATTCTTTATCCGAGGATTAAATAGGAAGTGCTCGGCCGCCGACTTCAACATATGTAACTCGATACGTCAGTCTTCTCCGTCCGCCTCCTTCCCCCTTCATCTGAAGTAACCTTCAACCATCTATATCCAATTCGGCTTTTCGTCTAGCTGATTGCTGCAATCTTTGTGCGCCAGTTCCAAAAGGACGTTCGTTCGGATAGTCGTTAGAGTTCTTTCCCAGCAAATTTTACTTTTTTGCATTTGTCGGAGTTCTACTACTTTGCGACTAAACGATGGAAGAAAGGAACAATATTAAATTGGGTACGGGGCGTGAGTCGGTGATGCAACTAATTGATAATGATCTGACGAAATGAAATTATCTATATATAATCCACGCTCGTAAGAGCAATAATTGAGAATAATAACCCACATTCAAATGATAAAATCACTTCTCCCTGCTGCTTCTCTGTAAATCAAATATCTTTGTATCGGTTATAGCGCTTATCGTTGTATTATTATCTGAAGATTTTTTGGCATGCGCTCGCTGTTTGTCTGGATGATTTGTTTGGTCGTTTGACGAAGTTCTGATCCTTGCCCTAGATAAGTAAAAGATAAAATCATATGTGAGAATGAAGGGCAAAGGGATTTTGACGAGTTTTAAATTACCTCTAACAATAATAACTGTGCTGACACATAGTAATTCTTGTATGCTAATAAAAACTCTTACCATTTGTTCGAACTACTATGTAACTCCATAATCAGTTAATCAACCGACTCTACAATATGAAAAAGCACATTTATGTTCAGAAGATTTACTGTGTCCACAATTCGGCATCCTAAAACTTCTAATTTATTGTTTCAATTGTAAGAAGGAAGTGAGCGGTAAATAATAATAACACCCACAAATCAATGTTTCGGCCATTTTTACCATGCTCTTTTTGTTCCCTTTTTCTTATATTCCGACGTTACTCTCTATGTCACATTGTACTCTCATTCCCACAACTACAATAATTCTCTTCACTCCCAACACTCTGTTGAATCTCTAATTCCAAAATCATCACCAAATTATTGGTTTTTCTCTTCTTTTTCTTTGAACTTGACCCAGACTCTGCTGTTGGCTGTGGCACAGATGGTTGCTGTTAACGTTTCTGACGATGTCGGGTTATCTTGAATATATATGAAAGCGAATATGGGACATTCGTTACTTATATTATTGATACAAGCACATTAGATCGAATATTACGTTTCCCGAATTAGACAATTTTTCGCATATAGCATGTAAGTTCTTACATATTGTCTTTTCTCCAACGTTCCATACAACTTACATTCTTTGCTTCCAACGTTCACTTTTCGGCTTATTCAGAGAACAACTTTTCGCTGGCCAAAATCTTTTAACAATTTGAAAATCAGAAGGGGGGAATGGGAATTGTTGTAACCCGAAATATAAGACGGAGACTGTATTTCAGATATTGCGGGTACTTGTTTGTGATTGGTATTGGCCTAAACAAACAAGCTTGGAAAAAATTTTCCATTTTTAGGCAGAACAGGAAATGCAATGAATGATTACGCCATTGTGCACACACAGTTTTCGCAGATAAGATATCCGCACAACATACTATTAACTCTTGATACCTATTAACCCTATTAACCACGTGTAAATCTGGAGGGTAAGGGAAATAAATAACAACAGTGAATAAAGCAACCCTACTCATATTATACACGTGTAACATATATCTGCACGAAAATACCTTTTCGTTGCTTGTTTTTAACGAGGACCAATAGTATGTCAATTTAATAATATATTTATATCTCCCCTATGAGCGCGAGTAATGGTGGTTTTTTCCACTAATAAAATTTATACGGTTATTATGTCTGTCAATTATCTTACCCAGAGAATTTTGGTTTTGGGGATACCAACTCTCCAATTCAAACGTCTGTTGATTTACAATCCCAATCTCGTATTCAAGATTTTCTTCCGTCTGCTACCTCCTCTTCTCTTTTCGATTATGTCGATGCGACGCCAACGAACAGTATGGACTATAAGGATGGCGGAACTTATACAGGAAACTATGCATTGTATCAAGACAACTTTCCCGAAGATATTCATCAGAGTAACGTTGACACGATGAATGTCAGTTGGATACACCTCTTTGCGGTCAAGTCGAAACCCATACAAATGGTCCTTGTCCGATACCAACGTCTTTTCAGACACTTTCTGTACCATATTCTGACATGACGAACAACGGTCTGACTGATAGCCAACATTTCGGTACAGCCAACAATACATATGTTTCATACACCAATACCCACGAGCAACGAGTACATTATTATGAGAGAAGAGCGAACTCAATCAATGGTAGGCAGAATATCAGCTGCTTCGAGCGTTGGCGAAATGTTAGCTCTAACTCGAATGTGAGAAAGTAAATTATATATCATGTCTTAAAGTAACAAGGCTTTTTTGTATTCAAATATATCTTCATTGTTATAGTCATTATATTAAATTAACTTTGACATGTAAAATCTCTGTTGCGTAGATGATACTTAATAAAACCTATTACTATTGAGACCAAATGTAATGGTTACCGCAAGTATCAAGCTTAAAATGGTTAGGCCGTACCCAACGATAGGCTTTCTCTTTTTACCACATTCGTTATCAATATATATTAGAGACGGTTACTCCGCTGCTGTTCTCTTTACCAAATAGAATTGAAAGTGGTTAGTTTCTGCGTAGACTGGCGAAAAGCCCTCGGTACAAAGCGCTTAGTTTATTACTTTCTTGACCCGCTGTTATTATAATATTAATATTTTCAAGACTACTTCTTATCCTTTACAACAACTCGGAAAGTATTTCGTAAAGAAAAATCGTATTTATTTACATAAATCCGTCTTTTTCGCAACAACATTTACTTGCTCTCCCGCCTGCTGTCGACGATCTGAGCAGGTTATATCGTGAATGGTATCTGCGTGATAATAATTTTTATCAAAACAAAGAGAAATATCATTGCCCACGAATTGAAGGAATGTGGATAATATCATTAATCGCAATGACTATATTACGGTAGAGTGAAAGAAAATCAATCACTAGTGATTTCTTAACTAACAACGTTCAATTTGAAAGCAACTGACTTTTACCTATTTCAACAGTAGATCGTTTTCCGTATAATTAGTTATGCAAGCTCAAGCGGTTCAAGCAAAAGCAAATTGTGTTACATACATCACTGCTTTTAACGGTAATGCCAATTGGATAAACTGTCTGTAAAAATGCGGCGTCGTAAGTGAATTATTTATTTAACTACACTTGTCGCAAAGACGTTCTTTGATGTAAAGTATAAGTTTCTAATAAATAAATAAGTAAGTAAGTAAATAATAAAATAGCTGCTAGTGAAATGGCCTTAAAATGATGGCTGAAAATAATGTCAAATTGAGAGCCTGCAAATGCTTTACTACAGTAACCCTTTTTATACCGATATCTAATTTTTCCTAATTAAAATCTCTTTATACCGTCAAGAAAGTAATTTAACACTATTGAAGTTCAATAAACCTCATAAGAATGGTACTAATATAAAGTGCCACCAAAAGATTCCCGTCATCTAATACTAGAAGATATGCATTCATTAGTAATTAAGTCGCATTCTTTAGAGCCTCAATTTTTCAGATGTCGATCATCTATGCATCTCACTGTTGAGTTAACGCTAACACTTGACTAAAGCTAGCATTGGCCGGTACCCTGCCTATCACCAATTGGATTCGCACTTCTCTTGTAATCACATATTCGGGCTCGTTGAGTACGTTAGCTTGCGTGCGCATTTGCGTAAAAGTATGCGCAATACTTTTGATCGTACCGAAATTTCCGTTGGAGGAGCCACAGAGCGGACATGAGCCTTTTTTCTGAGTTTCAATTTTATTACAATTCGGTGTATTTAACTGCTCAGTTATGGAGACATCAACGTCCGGAACCGGTCCGTAATAAGAGGCTGAGGGAGATAAGTTTATACGATTTCCAATATTTCCGTAGTGCATAGTATTCATATGGACATTACTATGAAGAGGCAAAGAGGTAGCATGAGAACGAACGTCTTGAGCATAAGGCTGGACTGGTAAATTAAGCACTTGGCCTGGGAAATCAGCATTTGTGGACAAAATCTTGACATTATCATGGGGAAGAAAATGGGCAGTGTGAGAACGGAAATCTTGAGCGTAAGATTGGATTTGTGAATTAGTAGCCATTTGATCAGAATTAAAGTTCTCCAATTGACTGGCGGCGTTATAGAGTCGGACATAATTGTTGTTAGGTTCGCTCATCATATTCAACGTCATAGGAGGAGAATGCAGAATATTAGGTCAAGAATTTGCGATTGTTAGTCGAATAATTATAATACTTTTCCCGTTGATGGTAGTGTATGTATCAATGTTATGAGTATTAGGAGGAAGAGAAAGAAAGCACTATTAAAAGAACTTTTATATTTATATTCAGCGACAATCATCAGCCGGAATGGTAGGGGGAATGCGTCTTATATACAAATTTGATCTGCATAAATAATTACTTTAACATCTTATTGTACAGTTGATTTCAAAATGTTAACTGTACGTTAATATAAAAAAACCAATTTTTTGAGTTTGTTTTTACTAAAATAGGGGAACTTTAATATTACTGTACGACTTAGACAGACAGCTCTTTGAAATACGATGGGCATCGGATATACGTATTCGTACAATAGAATTCACCAAGTACATATCAAACACAAAGCGATTTCGACCTCAAATCACAACTACCCATTTTCGCAAAACCGTCTAACAAATAAATATACATCCATTCTTGATCACATAAATGTTCTATATCATTAAAGAGATAATGTATCATGATCTTCTTTAAATTCTCTGCTTGTACGCCTTTAAAAAAAGGTTACGACTAAAATAATTATTGGGTTTAAGATCACTTGATTAGGCCAAAGCATATGAAAATTTGCATTATTATTATTAGTCGAAACTGACGACTAGTAAACTTTGTTGTCTGCATACATGTTTCAATAAAATGTAGACTTTTGTGAGTCAATTCATTCCAAGTGTGTGAATGAATTTCAGCATTATAACATATTGGCGTATCAACTTCTTCTAGATGGGTGGGGTAGTATAGGTAATCCGAAAGTACTATTAATTTGTGTAATGGAATACATAGTTACTGTGTTTCATAATTATATGGTGGTGGAACGCAAGCGTAAATGAGCACACGAATGTGTGAATAATATTATTTTATTATATATACGTGGTAACAATAAGATTGCAATAAGATGGAACAGCATGAGTGTGTGAAATGTCAAAATAACAGTATCTTTTTTGTATAAAATGTACAATTACAGTATTTTATTAACAAATCATGTGACGTGAAATCAGTCTCATGGCTTAACAAATAATGAATTTGTTGTGATCGGTCAAGTTTTAGTGCGCAATAACTGGTGTAACACATGAACCAATACCTAAGAAGGAAACAACGCTAAGAATTAGCGAGTTG